TAATCAGAACCTGCGCACACGACGACAAGGAGTAGTGCAACTTCAGTCACGAGAGACGAATGTCATACTGCAAATGTCCAAAGTCCTAATAGCAGAAGGACTTGGCTACAACTTACTGAGCGTCAGTCAGTTGATGGCGAAAGGCATACATCTGGAAGCCGACAGTACCACCCAGGAGTTCAAGCTGTACCACGGGAAGGGCGGCCTCTACATCGGAAAGGCGGTCCTGAAGAACAATGTCTTCGTTCTCGATTTCGTCCCAGACCTGGGCACCGCAGACAGTGGCGGGATCGTCACCTTCACATCTTGGACGCACCCGCCGGATCTCGACCCCGACTTCAGTCCGGAAGGCTTTTGGTATTCACATACCATTCCTGAAGCAGAACGAACACGTGCGTTAGTAACAATACAACATTCGGCAGCAGCAGAGACAACATCGGCAGCAACAGAGACAACATCGGCAGCAGCAGAGACAACATCGGCAGCAGCAGAGACAACATCGGCAGCAGCAGAGACAACATCGGCAGCAGCAGAGACAACATCGGCAGCAGCAGAGACATCATCGGCAGCAGCAGAGACATCATCGGCAGTAGCAGGAACAACAACAGTAGCAGCAACAACGACACCACTCCTCGTTGACGGAGCACCACCAACACCCGCACAGCAGCTGAATCCGGCTCAACGGGAAGTCCATAGAAGCGCAAACTTCACCGCCAGCTTCTACTCCAACTCCGACGCGTATCGACGCTCACTCGGACACCGCGCCTCCGAAGACATCTGGCACGCACGCATGGGACACCCAAGCAACACTGTGTTAAACAACACAATAAGAGCAGGAGTCCTTCACAAGGACTCGTTACTACTACTCGACGGCAGAGAACTTCAACGGGCACGAAGAACATGTCTTACCTGCCCCGAAGCCGACTTACCACATCGGCCGTTCACTCCTCATCACAACCCGAGCACACCCGCGTACACACCACTAGAAAAGGTGTATAGCGACATCCTGTACAATCGGGAACCAGGACAAGTAATATACAACTACACAATCACCTTCATCGACGCTGCCACCCGTTACGTCTGGCATCTAAACCTACCCAGCCGCGACATGGTCCTCGAAGCATTCGCTGCTTGGCTACCAGTAGCAGAAAGAGAGTCGGGCGTAAAGCTGAAAAGCTTCCAGTCTGACGGAGGAGGAGAATACACCTCTCAGCGATTCAAGCAGTACCTGGCGGAAAGGGGAATCAAGCAGCTCCTCTCTCTTCCCTACGCCCATCAGCAGCAAGGTGTAGCAGAAAGAATGAACAGGACTCTGCAGAACAGCATGCGCAAACTGTTGCGTGGCATGCGGCTACCCAACCACCAGTGACCTGACGCGATGGACCACGCTGTCATGCTGCACAACTTGCTCTCATCTTCATCACTACCGAACAACGCATCACCGCATCTGCTGTGGACAGGAAAACAGGGCAGCACAAAAATGTTACGAGTGTTCGGATGCATGGTACAGTACCGACCCCCAGCAGCACGAGCGGGCCGATTTTCACAACGCGCACAGTGGGGACTACACCTCGGCATCGAAAAGAACTACAACGCGTGGAAAATCTTTGACGTCCACTCCAAGGAAATAGTAGCAGCACGCGACGTCATGTTCTACGAAAGACTCACGCTCCAGACATACCTTGCCAACCTGCAAGAGGACCAAGATCCCACAGGTGGTTTTCGTGGTGACCGAGCCTTCGCCTCGGCAGCAGACGAAGCTGACTGGGACGAGCAGAATGTGGCCAACGCATCAGAAGAAGCTAGACCCCTTCCGTTCTGCTCCGTCGACGTCCCCATGGACGAAGATAACCCTCGCGAAAGTGTCAACGCCGAAACCTTCTACTACTTCGCCGACAACGGTTACGTAACACCTGCGACAGTCAACACCAACGAAGCAGAACGAGTAGGACCGAATTTCATACCTGATCCAGAAGCGGGAGATGAAGCAGCTTATCCCGAGGATGCAACTCTTCCCCGCTACTCACAGACTGGACTGCAGATTCTCGGACTCGTCACCGCAGTCCACGGCAACACTCTTCCTAAGGAGCCTGCGACGGTTCAGCAGGCTCTGGGGGGGGAACACAGGGAAAAATGGCGTGAAGCCATGGACAGAGAGTTAAAGGCGCTGGAGGAACGGAACACCTGGAAAGTTGTCCCCATCAGCGTGGCAAAGAACAAGACCATTCTCACCGGGAAATGGGTCTTCCGCGTTAAAACAAAAGCAGACGGCACAATTGAGAAGTTCAAAGCACGCTGGGTTGTGCGTGGATTCGATCAGGAGCACGGACGGGACTTCACCGAGACATTCGCCCCGGTTAGCCGACATACCTCACTTCGAATCCTCCTCGCGATCGCCGCCATGAAGAAAAGGAAGCTACGGCAAATCGATGTCGCCAACGCGTTCCTCTACGCACCTGTCGACGTGGAAATCTTCGTCGAGCTCCCACACGGTACCAACGGGGAACCTAACCAAGTCTGTCAACTGCTGAAATCACTTTACGGGATCAAGCAAGCTCCGCGGCTATGGCAACAGTACCTACGCGCTCGCCTCATTCGCATCGGATTCCGCCAACTACCTCACGACCAAGGAATGTACTGACTCACTAAAGACACCGACTACATTCTGCTGATCGTCTACGTAGACGACCTACTCTACATCGGCTCCACTGACGACATCACCACCTGGTTCGAAGGGGAGCTACAGAGGGACCTCACACTCACGGTCTCCTCTACCGTCACACAGTACCTCGGCTTGAACATTCGGGAAGAAGAAGGCGCGATCTACCTCAACGCCGCTAAGTACGCCGACACCATCGCCAAACGCTTCGCGCTCACACCTACCACCATCTCTACGCCCTACCGCTACGCGACAGGAAACCACAAGGAAGGATCCTCTGTACTCAAATCCGCCGGGATACGCGACTACCAGAGAAAGCTAGGATGCCTTCTCTTCGCAGCTGTCACCTGCCGCCCCGACCTCTCATACTCCGCAAGCCAGCTCGCCACCTACCTCAAGAAGCCTGAAGCAGAACACCTGGCGGAGCTCGACCGCGCTCTCCACTACTTCGTCAGTACCTCAACGATCGGCCTAACTTACTACAAGAACACAACTACACCGACTAAATTAATCGGCTACGTCGACGCTGATCACGCTGGCGACTCCGACAACAGGCGCTCCCGCACCGGCTACATCTACCGCCTCGAACCTATCGGACCGATCTCCTGGCAATCGAGCAAGCAGGAATTAATTGCTCTCTCGTCAGCTGAAGCAGAATATATTGCACTCTGCTCAGCCACCAAGGAAGGACTCTATCTTCGCGAGCTGCTGGAAGAAGCGAAGTTAGCCGAGTTACCCAACTTCACTCTGTTCTGCGACAACCAATCTGCAATTCGCATCGCCAACAAAAATGGATTCGCGAACAGAACGAAGCATATCGCTCTGCGATATTTCTTCGTGAAAGACGAGATTGAGAAGGGGAGACTTGAACTATCCTACTGTCCCACGTCCGAGATGGCAGCTGACTACTTGACCAAGAAGCTCGGAAAACAGAAGTTCGAGTACTGCATGCTGCTGACTGGACAAAGCCACGTCACCAGCAGCGACACTCCAGAAGCGAAGGGGAGTGTTGGGAACAAACAATCTTAAAGCGCCTCTGTCGTGTCGAAACACCAAGGCACAAGCGAAGCAGAGCATATCGAGGCACCAGCGAGTCAACCCTCGGAGGTTGAAGTAACCGCTGGAGGTTACGCGAAAGTCAAAGGTCAGCGACCTTTGACTTGACAAATGCGGCGCGACAGCAAGGACACACAACTGACTCGACATTGAGCAGTTGCCCGAGTCGCACTGTATCGAACCGCAACAGTAAAACAGTTTAATTATATCTCTTCGTATTCTTTGTACTCTTATATAAACCTTTGTACTTGCTTGTTTTAATCAACTTACTTTGCCCTCACATACCAGCGCAAGGTGGTTCAAGGACTTCATTTAAACGCTTCCGCTACTACATCACTCTACCCAGAGTTTAACCCTACCAAAGATCCTAAGGGGCACTCAGCCCAACAGCAGTGAATTAACTGTCGCGCGGTTACTGGATTGTCAAGGGTCACGACCGTTGACTTCCTCAGACGGTTGACCTTTGGGTGACCCTCGACATTCCGCATGCTCTATATGAGCTATTGCGGTACTGGTACAATGGAACAGCTTCGGGAATGCTTTATATAACCCTTCGGTTATTCCAACATAGGGGACAAGCTTGCTAGGCGGGGGGTTCGGGATGGGATGGCTCGGTGATGGTTGCGATTGGAGCGGAGGCCGACTCGGGGGTGGTTCGGTGCGACGAAATAGGCAAGACGGGTTCGTCGCGTGACCCTCGGGATGGCCTCGCTAACGAGTGCCTCAGTAAGGATTTGTAAATCCTTACAGTATGGGTACTCTACTTAAAGCTTTAGTATACATTTGACAGAAGGGGTTCAAAAACTTCTGAAATTTGAAACTTTGCCCGTGAGACCGTGAGGCGACTCCCTAAACCCGAAACCTGGATGACAAATGTATACTTCAGCTTTAAGTGCATCCAGGTGACTGCCTCCATCAGATTCAAATTCAAGGGTCTTGAGTTGTCTCAGGTCCCTTCAACGTCTTCAGCAGAAGTAGCAATTATATTTGCAATTACAGGATAACCAAAGGCACGCCCAGTTCCACGACCAACCATGCACACACACCCACACACAACACCTAACCCCTCCCACCCACACACACACACGCGCAACCAATTCTGAAAACCATGTTAGTTGCAGGCCGCATCAGCAGCAGCAGCATTGACACAAGGGACCGCAGCAACAACAGAAGCACCGACAGCAGTGGAGGCATTACCAGAAGCAGAAGCAGCGTATCGAGTGTCTTGCCTGCCGCTGCAGAACCCCACTGCACCGTGCTGCTACCAGCACCTCCCATCTCCCCCTTAAATTATCGTTTTTGCGGTCTTGACGAACGAGCCAGCGCCGGCCTGCAGGGCACCCTTGGCGCCCTTGCCGCTGCGGTACGCGTTGACTGCAGCCATAAGCGCCTCCTTGCCGCCCTTCTTCACCACATTCTTCACCAACCCTCCCGCCTTCTGCCCCGCCTCGCTCTTCGCCGCCTGATTCGCCGCGTTCTTGATCTTCTTCCAGCTCAGCAGCACCCGCACCGCCTCGTCCAGCCCGTCCGTCGCCTCCCCCACCTCCTCCTCCTCACCACCTACGTCCAGGTTACCGCCGCTCGCTTCCAGCAGCTTGCGGCCCCAACTCGCCGCGTCCACGGCCGCGCTTCCCCCAGCAACGTCACCCCGCTGCTTTGGCGCAGCCGCGGCGTAGAGTGCGGGAAGTGTTGCGAGGACCAATGCGAGAATGAACACGGTGCGAAGAGTAGCCATGGTTACTGCCGCGATGGATTCTCGAGAGTAGCACTGCGAGCGATGATGAGGATGAGATGATTTGGGTGAATTTTCGAAAACTGAGAGAAGAAACTCCGTCGGGTGATGGTGAATGGTGGAGCGGAGGCAGTTAAAGTACTAACGATAAACTTCGAGGTGAGGGTGGAGGACGGAGAGCGTTAGCTGATCGTTACCCATAATGGTACCACTTTCAGCTGCTCGCGGGTTGCATGGCGCCCCCGCACAACACGCAACATGCCGCACAACTTGGTGTGTACGATATCAGTGAGGCTAATACCACCGCGTGCTGCGCTGGGCTCCGATTCGGAGTTAGACGGCAGCGCGGCAATAATGGCTGACGGTCCATTAACGAGCCTCGCTAGCTTCGTGAATTTCGAAAGCTGTGACTAAAACGACTCGTCTGGAATAACAAACTGGAAGAGTGAGGGTCCGGTGGGGGGAGAACAGTTTGTCGTCTGTACTGAAGCGGCAGAAACCTAGATCTCTCATTCCTGGGGCTCGCAGTTATTGCTCGATCATGGCGCCGCACAAAGCGCAAGGGAGTTAGCGAGGGGATGGGATGGACATGCTTGGGCAGACGCAGATACGCACGGTGTGGACTGGGTTGGGTTGGGTCACGCTGGTTTGGGTTGGGTTGAGAGCTCTCAGTGCGAGAGAGCTCCAAGGCTGGCGGCTGTGCGGCAATAATGTTCTCTGGTGGAAATATTATTGAGGCTGTGGAAAGAAACATGTAATAATACTTTCTATATAACTGTATCAGACTACCATACCATTTACTTTGTCATGTAGAAAAAAAAACAGAGTATGTCCGCCCCCAAAAAAATGGATGTCAAGCCAACCGGCCTATCCATAAGGGTGCATGCAGTGCAAGGAGATTCTTGGAATTCACTTAGAAGTAGTAACAATTTGCTCTTGGGTGCTTCTGGTATACTGCCTCTAGCTAACGGGAATATCAATCTTGAAGCATCGCTGACAGTCCTTGCCCACATTGCTCCCAAACGGGAATAGCAGTCTTGCCGGCATGGGCGGGCTTGACTTGGAAGAGCCGCATACCGAACTGCGAGGCAGATGTGAGCGGCATGGCGCTGAAGAAGGAGCAGGCCTTGGAGGCAAATATGTTCTTGAAGCGCTGCACGTCGTGCGTCTCGGTGAACCACTGGACGACTGGAAGTGGGGGAAGAGGAAAAAGGAAGGCAGGGGGGGTGAGTGGTAAATCTAGGGAAACCGGACTTGAGGTGTCTCAAAACCTGAAGAACACTGCTGGGAGAGGGTAGAACACTGCAGGGAGAGGGTACAGGGAATGAGCCAGAAGAGACATGTGGGGATGGAGGGGAAAAGGGGGGAAGGTGATGGGGGGTTGGAGGTGAAGAAGGAGCAGATTTAGAAGGCGAGGAAGTTGCGGAAGCGTTGCACGTCATGCGTCCCGGCGAATCGCTGGAAGGCCGCAAAAAGGGAAACAGAGGAAGAGTGGGCAGAGGAAACATGACTTGAAACGCTTCAAAACCTGAAGGATATTGGGAGTGAGCCATATGAGGCAGGAGAACTTCAATAAACATCTGGGTTTGGGGGAAAGAGGGGGGGTGGGCAGGGGTGTATAGGAACGAGGGAAGGTAGGGGTGTATAGGAACGAGGGAGGGAAGGGGTGTATAGGAACGAGAGAGGGAGGGGGTGTATAGGAACGAGAGAGGGAGGGGGTGTATAGGAACGAGAGAGGGAGGGTGTCAGTGGGAACGAGGGAGGGGGAGAGGACGTATAGTCTGGTTAACACCCACAGTCCAGTGCGTGGTTTCCCTGCCCACGCCCTTGGTTCAGCCTAAGCGCACCCTACCAGCCTCCCATTCAACCCACCCAACCCTCTCAACCCCTCCATCCCACCCACCCATCTCACTCAACCGACAATGTCCCCTGGCTTGACAGCAAGGGGAGTGGTTCCCCCGCCCCAGTGGACCCCGATTCACCACCAGTGGCCCTGGTTCTCCAGCCTCCCGTTCGTCTCATCCCACCCCACTCACACTTTCTCCACCGTACTACACCCACCCTCTGACCACTCAACCATCCATCACTCACCGAGAATGTCCCCTTGCTTCACAGCAGGAGCCATCCACAGGTTGACTCCCAATGGCTCACTCAGTTGCCCTGCAGGAGCCAGATCCTCACTGGCAGCGGCTGTTGGGAATGTGGAGAGGCGAGGACGGATGCAGGGGTGCAGAGCGGTGAATGGGTCTTCCAAAAGGTTGACTCCCCCGCTCCAATGGTTCACTGGGTTGCCTTGCAGGTGCAAGGCAAATCATAACTGGCAACAGCTGTTGGGAACATGGAGAGGCAAGGCCGGATGCAGGGGTGCAGAGCGGTGAATGGGGCTTCCACAAGGTTGACTCCCCCGCTCCAGTGGCTCACTGGGTTGCCCTGCAGAAACCCAACCATCACTGAAAGGGGCTGCTTGGGGTGTGGAAGGGCAAGGACGGACGCAGGGATGCAAAGGGGTGGCAAGAGATTCCACAGGGTGAATTACCCCCTTCCAGTGGCTCACTAGCAGGGGCTGTGGGGGAGGGAAGAGAGGGTGTGAGGGCAAGTACGGCATGAGAGGGATGTATTGGGGAAAGAACATGCATGAGAAGTGCGTCAAGCAAGGAGCGTGCGCCTGACGCGGGTGCAAGTGGAAGTTGTGGAATCACAACAGCTCCCACCAGCTCCCACCTGCTCTCACAATCACAACAGTTGTGGCGTGTGTGGTGAGTGCCTGGCGTGTGTGGTGAGTGCCTAGCGTGTGTGGTGAGTGCCTGGCGTGTGTGGTGAGTGCCTGGTGTGTGTGGTGAGTGCCTGGTGTGTGTGGTGAGTGCCTGGTGTGTGTGGTGAGTGCCTGGCGTGTGTGGTGAGTGCCTGGTGTGTGTGGTGAGTGCCTGGCGTGTGTGGTGAGTGCCTGGTGTGTGTGGTGAGTGCCTGATGTGTGTGGTGAGTGCCTGGTGTGTGTGGTGAGTGCCTGGTGTGTGTGGTGAGTGCCTGGTGTGTGTGGTGAGTGCCTGGCGTGTGTGGTGAGTGCCTGGTGTGTGTGGTGAGTGCCTGATGTGTGTGGTGAGTGCCTGGTGTGTGTGGTGAGTGCCTGGTGTGTGTGGTGAGTGCCTGGTGTGTGTGGTGAGTGCCTGGTGTGTGTGGTGAGTGCCTGGCGTGTGTGGGGAGTGCCTGGTGTGTGTGGTGAGTGCCTGGTGTGTGTGGTGAGTGCCTGGTGTGTGTGGTGAGTGCCTGGTGTGTGTGGTGAGTGCCTGGTGTGTGTGGTGAGTGCCTGATGTGTGTGGTGAGTGCCTGGTGTGTGTGGTGAGTGCCTGGTGTGTGTGGTGAGTGCCTGGTGTGTGTGGTGAGTGCCTGGTGTGTGTGGTGAGTGCCTGGTGTGTGTGGTGAGTGCCTGGTGTGTGTGGTGAGTGCCTGGTGTGTGTGGTGAGTGCCTGTGTGTGGTGAGTGCCTGATGTGTGTCACCAAGTTTCAGAACAGCAAGTTTCTTTTCATAACCCCATACGAACTTTCAACGCCTTCACCAAAAGCACGGTAGCAGCAGAAGCAGAAGCAGCAGAAGCAGCAGCAGCAGAAGCAGAAGCAACAGCAGCAGCAGCAGCAGAAGCAGAAGCAACAACTTTAGTGGCTGTAGCGGCGGCGATGTCAGCAGCACCAATAGTGACAGTGGCAGTGGCATTGGCAGCAGGGGCAGCGGCAGCAGAAGCAGGGGCTTGGAGGTGGCTGTTGGCATGGGTCGCCTGGAGGAGGAAAGGGGTGAGCTGCTGCAATCGTGGAACGCTCTGAAGCGACAGAGGGGTGGAGGAATAGGGGAAGGGAGGATCAGGAAAAGGTTGAAGGCATTTTCAGAATTCACAAGGGGGTGGGCCGCTGCAATAGTTGAACCTTGTGAAGCGACAGAGGGGTGGGAGAATTGAGGAGGGGAAGATCAGGATAAGGCTGAAGGCGCTTTTATAGTTCCCTCTCAAAGGAGTGAGCTGCTGCAATATGGAGGGACGACGATATACAGTGGACGGTTTCTCCCCTTCTTTTCACCTTTCCTCCTCACCTCCTCCTTACTTTCCTCCATCTACACTTCCCACTCCCCTTCTCACTTCCTCCTTGCGGCAACTTTATCACACTTCCCGCCCCAGCGCTTCAACTCATCTCACTCAAACCTAATCCCTCTTTGACACCTCTCAACACCATCCACCCTCCTCCCAGTAGCCCCACGACATCCGACTTGACTCACTGCAACCTGTTACCCTTCTTCCCCTTTCTTCCCTCTCCCCCAACCTTTCCTCTCTGCCATCCCTACACCAATCTCAGTGCTCTCTTTTAGTGCAGTCTCCCCACTACCCCCACTACCTCCCACTACCCTCCACTACCCCACCTCCCGCTTCATTACCGGTACCTCCACTAGTATTATCAACAATCAGAAAAAGGGGAACATACAACAGCCTGGTGCGTGTGGTGAATGCCTGATGTGTGTGGTGAGTGCCTGATGTGTGTCACCTTAAGTTTCAGAACAGCAAGTTTCTTTTCATAACCCCATGCGACCTTTCAAAGCCTTCAGCAAATGCATGGTAGCAGCAGGTATATCCCAGCGATTACATGATAACCAAAGCAGCAACCAGATCCACTATCAACCCTGCACAGCACACCTAAGCCTTTCACCCACACACACACCACCTAACCCCTCCACCCCCCCCACACACAATCACACACACATACCTCTCCCAGCAGCATCACTAAGACGAAAGTATTAAGTAACCGATTCTGCAAACCGTGCCACTTGCAAGCCACATCAGCAGCAGCAGCAGGCAGAAGCACCGACAGCAGTGGAGGCAACAGCAGCAGCAGAAGCAGCGTATGGAGTGCCTTGCCTGCCGCTGCAAAACCCCACTGCACCGTGCAGAACCCCACTGCACCGAGCTGCTACCAGCAGCAGCAGGCACCATACCAGCTGCGCTGCCCAGCCGCTGCCCAACTCCTCTCCGCCGTGCCTCTCACCCCTCCCATCTCCCCCTTAGATCATGGTTTTCGCGGTCTTGACGAACGAGCCAGCGCCCACCTGCAGGGCACCCTTGGCGCCCTTGCCGCTGCGGAACGCGTTGACTGCAGCCGTGAGCGCCTCCTTGCCGCCCTTCTTCACCACATTCTTCACCAACCCTCCCGCCTTCTGCCCCGCCTCGCTCTTCGCCGCCTGATTCACCGCGTTCTTGAACTTCTTCCAGCTCAGCAGCACCCGCACCGCCTCGTCCAGCCCGTCCTCCGTCATCTCCCCCACCTCCTCCTCCTCGCCGCCCTGCTGGTCCAGCAGCTTGCGGCCCCAACTCGCCGCGTCCACGCCTGCGCTTCCAGCAGTAGCGACGCCGCCCCGCATTGGCGCGGACGCGGCATAGAGTGCGGGGAGAGAGACGAGGACCAAGGCGAGGATGAACACGGTGCGAAGAGTGGCCATGGTGACGAGCGAGTTCAGAGTGCGTCGGAGCGTCGGAGCGTCGGATTTCGAAAGTAGCGCTGACGATGGCCCGAGCGAAAATTAGGGATCAGATTTCGGTGATTTTCGAGCACCGGGAGAAGAGATTTAGTCAAGTGATGGTGAATGCAGGAACGGAGACAGTTTAAGTACTACGGAGAGACGAGGAGGCGCGGTTGGTGGAGGGAGAGCGTCGGTCGCCACCATAATGGTACCGCTTTCAGCCACTCCGTGAGTACGTTCTCAGTGATGCTAATACCACCGCGTGTTGCGCAGGACTCCGATTCGGAGTTAGACGGCAGCGCGGCAATAATGGCTGGCGGCGGCCCATTTCGAACTTCGCCAGATAGCCAGCTCGGTGAATTTCGAGAGCTGTGATTGGCGGGACTCATCTCCAATGACGAACCTGGAAGAGTGAGGGTCCGGCGGGTGGGGGGGGAGAGCAGTCCGCCGTCTGAATCGCAGCAGCAATGACCAAGACACCTCATTCCAGCAGCTCACTCAGCTCGCAGTTATTGCTCCTATGATTGCTCCGCACAACGCGCGACGAGTTCGTGAGGGGTTGGACACAATAGTTTTGAGGCCACGCGCTGGTACGCACGATGAGGATTGGTTGGGATGGTTTCGGATTGGGATGGGTTGAGTTTCGATTGGGTTGGGATGGTTTCGATTGGGATGGGTTGAGTTTCGATTGGTTGGGATGGTTTCGATTGTGATGGGTTGAGTTTCGATTGGGTTGGGATGGTTTCGATTGTGATGGGTTGAGTTTCGATTGGGTTGGGATGGTTTCGATTGGGATGGGTTGAGTTTCAATTGGGTTGGGATGGTTTCGATTGGGTTGGGTTGAGTTTCGATTGGGTTGGGATGGTTTCGATTGGGATGGGTTGAGTTTCGATTGTGTTGGGCTGGATGAGGGTAGGGTGGTTTTCCTGTTGCTAGGTGCAAGTGATCAACGCTCGTCCGGCAATAACGGCAACTGGTGAGGATCTGTTACGAGTGCAATTGAGTGAACGAACTAGAATTGCACTATCGAAGCAAGAGTACAATGAGCGAAGGCATGAGCGAAGAATATATAGCGAAACTACAGTGGTAACGGTAATGGACTGTGGTTGTCGCGCGACGGGCCTGGGACTGAGGTTGGGAAAAGTGTCGAAGCGGAGGCCCGGAGCGCGGGTTACCCGCCGAGCCGTGAGGTCGGGGTGCGACGCGCGAAGGTGGCGGGCAGATTGTCGATGCGAGGGTTGCGAGTGGTAACGGTGCTGACTGTGGTGCTACAGTGATGTACGCGTTGAGCAGGGATGCGAAGTAAGGAAAAGGAATTTTCCTTACACTACCCCCCCCCCTTTAAGGAGGTCTTCCTTACGAGAGTGCGTGTACATCCCTGAAATTTCGGCTGCGCAGATACTCGGTGAGGACGGGGTGGTTTTCGATTCTGTCCAGGGGAACCCAATTGTCTTCGGTGGGTGTACGGTCCTTCCAGCGGAGTAAGAACTCGATCCTTCGGGCTCCTCGAGGGTCGCGAACTCTGTGACTCAGGATTTTTTTGGGGGTGATGATTGGTTCAGTTGGTGGTCTTGTCATGCTGGTTGGGCGATTGCGTGGCAGTTGGCTCGTGGACGGGACGTAAGGGCGAAGTAGGCTGATGTGGAATGAGGGGCTGACGTACCAGTCAGCAGGGAGGAGGAGGTGGGCGGTGACGGGTGTAAGCATGTGGCTTATGCGAAATGGCCCGCAGTATCGGGGGCGGAGTTTCGGAGTGATGGGCAGTCGGAGGTTCTGAGTGTCGAGCAAAACTAAGTCGTCGGGCTGGTAAGTGACAGGTCTGCGGTGGCGGTCGGCGTTGCGTTTAGCGATGATGTTAGCTTTTTTAATTGCGTCTGCTGCCCTGGTCCGTGCTGCTTGCAAGATTTCGGCGAACTGTTGCGCGCGTGGAACCGGGTTGTCGGGATTCGGGGTCATGGGTACTGTTGGGTCTTGTCCGTAATTCAGGTAAAACGGTGACTGTTGGGTCGTGGCGGATGGGGCGTTGTTGTATGCGAATTCGATGAGTGGCTGTTGCTGTTCCCACGTGTTTGGGTCGTCGCACGTGGCCCGGATGAGCTGTTCCATGGTCTGATTTGTCCGTTCTGTCTGTCCGTCTGTTTCGGGGTGGTACGATGAACTAAACTGTAGTCGCGTGCCGAACTGCTGCCACAGGTTCCGCCAGAAATTGCTGGTGAATTTCGTGTCTCTGTCGCTGATGATTGATGCTGGTATCCCGTGCGGTCGAACGACGGTAGAGATGAAGAGGCGGGCTGTTTCTTCGGCTGTGATTGATTTTTTGCAGGCTGCGAAGTGTGCCATTTTCGTCAGTCGATCGACGACGACCAGGATCGCGTCATTTCCACTCGCTCCGGCCGGTAACCCCGTGACGAAGTCCATCGTCACCTGCTGCCAAGCACACTCTGGAGGTGGGATTGGCTGCAACTGTCCCGCCGGCCGCTTCCGTGTTGACTTCATGATCTGGCAAGTGGGACACGATGCCACGTGTCGCTGCACGCCGGTCAACATTTCGGGCCAGTAATAATACCGCTGCAGCTGCTGCCGTGTTTTTTCTACTCCGAAATGCCCCGAAGTAACTCCGTCGTGTGCCTCCTGTAACAGTAATTCCCGTAGCAGTGTATACCCAGATACCCAAATGCGGTCAGTCCCGGTTTTTGTCAGAACATTATAGCTCATGCATATTGTGTAGGCTATAGTGGGGTAGCCCATAAGGGGTACAACCCAATTAGGGTTAGCACTTGTACCCAATTCATTCATAGTTCATTCATTCCTTGTTTCTTCTCATGGTATCGAGCAGGTTCCCTAGTGGGAACGCTTCCTAGGGCCCACCACGAAAATTTTTTTTCCTGCCCGGAGCGCGCTTCGCTCCCACAGTCGCGCCCTCTCACGGCCCCTCGCGTCGCCCTTAGCGGCCCCTTACGGCCCCTCGCGCCGTCCCTTACGGCCCCTAGTGCGGCCCCTTACGGCCCCTAGCGCGGCCCGTCGGCCCCTTACGGCCCCTTACGGCCCCTCGCGCGGCTCCTTACGGCCCCTTACGGCCCCTTACTGCCCCTCGCGCGGCCCCTTACGGCCCCTCACGCGGCCCCTTATGGCCCCTCGCGCCGCCCGTCGGCCCCTTACGGCCCCTTACGGCCCCTCGTGCGGCCCCTTACGGCCCCTTACGGCCCCTCGCGCCGCCCGTCGGCCCCTCGCACCGCCCTCAGCGGCCCCTTACGGCCCCCCTACGGCCCGTCGCCGCCCTCCGCGGCCCCTCGCGCCGCCCCTTCACGGCCCGTCGCCGCCCTCCGCGGCCCCTCGCGCCGCCCCTTCACGGCCCGTCGCCGCCCTCCGCGGCTCCTCGTGACGCGGCCCCTCGCACCGCCCTCTCCGGCCCACTGTCGCCGCCCCTACCGCAGCGGCCGCCGCCGTCCCTGCAGCAGCAGCCGCAGCCGTCGCCAGCAGCAGCCGCCACCACCTCCCTCGGGGCCGCGGCTGCTGCCGCAGCTGACTGCACCCGCCGACGCCGCTCCACTCGGCCCCGCCGCCGCTCCCCACGCGGCCTCGCCGCACCACCTGAGCCGCCCGGGCCTGCCGAGCCGCCGTACCGCCCGAGCCGCCGTACCGCCCGAGCCGCCCGAGCCGCCGTGTCGCCGAGCCGCGCTTGCTGCCGAGCCGCCGTACAGCCGAGCCGCCCGAGCCGCCGAGTTGCCGAGCCGCCGAGCAGCTGAGCCACCCGAGTCGCCCTGTCCGGTAAGTGCAGCGCCTCTGTCCCTGCACTGCCCTCACCCTACTGTTAGCGCTGCTAGTCTACTGCTGTCATGGCTACCCCTAGTGTCCTCGCCTTTGACGCTGAGGGTCGGGCCATTGACTTTGACGTCTGGGTAGATGACCTGCAGATTTTCCTACAGTGCGATAGGGCAGACGGTCTCTCCCTCTTTGACCTCACCTCTGGTGCCTCTCCTGCCCCTGCTGCTGATGCCGACGCCACTGTTCGCTCCCAGTGGGCCACTCGCGATGCTGCTGCACGTCTTGCTGTGCGTCGCCACCTGCCTACCTCTGAGCGTGCGCACTTTAGCCAGTACAAGAGTGCTCACACCTTGTACGACGCTGTAGTTGCGCGCTACTCCTCCCCTGCCACTGCTGCACTGAGCCGCCTCATGCTACCGTACCTCTTCCCTGACCTTGCTGCCTTTCCCACAGTCGCTGACCTCATTACGCACCTCCGCACTAGTGACACTCGCTACCGCGCTGCGCTTCCTGCTGAGTTCTGCGCCAAGAACCCCCCCCCCCCATGTACATCACCCTCTACTACATAGTCACCCGGCTCCCTGACTCCCTTCGCGTAGTCAGGGACCACTTCCTCTCCGTTTGCCCCACCACTCTCACCGTTGACCTCCTCGAGAAGTCCCTCCTAGCAGCAGAGAAGAGCATAGTCGCTGTAGGAGCCTCTCGTGGTGACCCTCGCACCCCCATCTTTGAGGGGTGTTCCCCCTCCCCCCTTTTGCCCTCTGTTGCCTCTGCTGCTGCGGCCGACCTCGTTGGGCTTGAGTCGGTCGGTGCGGCGTCTACCCCTAGCGGGAGACGTCGCCCTGGCAAGGGCAAGGGGGGCAGGGGCACTGGAGGAGCTAGCGGGGGCGGTGGAGGTAGCGGTGGAGGCGGTGGAGGGGGTGGGGGTGGTGGTGGGAGTGGTGGCGGGGGCGGAGGTGTCGGTGGCGGCAGTGGAGGCGGAGGCGGCAGTGGCGGTGGCGGTGGGAGCGGAGGTGGCGGCGGTGGAGGAGGAGGCGGCGGAGGAGGTGGAGCTGGTCGGGGTGGCGCTGCGCAGAGGGGCGGCTCCGGTGGTGGTCAGCGCCAGCAGCAGCAGCAGCAGCAGCAGCGCACTCGTGACATCCCCTCCCCTCAGCAGCTCCGTGAGTGGTACACTGCACGCCAGAGGGGTGGGGGTACTGGCCCGTGCACCTACG